GCTCATCACATTGTGGATCGCTGAAGGATTTGTTGAACATGTTGAAGGCCTCACGCCAGAAAAAGTTGCGGATAGCTATCTTATGGAACTCATTTTTCGTAACATGCTACAGCAAAGGTTTCGAGCACCCTTCCTAGCATGTAAGATGCATGATCTTTTGCGGGAGATTGGTCTGTCTATAGCGAAAAAAGAAAAATTTTGCGCTTTACATGATGGGAGTGGAACAGTAGAAGAAATTGGGGCACTCCGTTCGTCAATTCAAATAACTAACGGAGAAATTGGATCATGCACAGGTATATCACGGCTTCGTTCGTTTCTCATCTTTGCAACTGGCGTATCCTCATTCTCTTTCCCAAATAAATTACCTTTTGACCTTAAATTGTTGAAGGTTCTAGATTTGGAGGATGTCCCAATTGATATTCTGCCAGACAATCTAACATCCTTATTTAATTTAAAATATTTAAATTTGAGTGGAACTCCAATTACGGAGCTTCCATAATCCATTGGAAAGCTCCGCAACCTTCAGGACTTGAACATCGTGCTGACAAAAATAGTGGCACTTCCAAGTTGATAAACTTGCGCGTGTTACTTGTGGGCAGGTTCATTTCCGGAAAGGTAATTTGTACTGGGGTAAGAATACCATCAAGTAGTATTAGTAAGATGAAGAAATTGCAAACTTTGGGATATATTGAATCAGAAGGAAACATTAGTAGACTTATTGGAAATATGACCCAGCTTAAGGGCCATGGCATTTCAAATGTGAAAGAAAGAGACGAGGAGGACCTATGTGCCTCAATTCAAGAGATGAAGGTCCTTTCCAAGTTGGGTTTATTTGTAGCTGATGGAGAGGAATTTCTTCAAGTTGACTCATTGTCTTCACCGCCTCCCCACCTTGATAGTCTTGAATTGGCCGGCAAATTGGAAAAGGTACCACATTGGTTTTGTTCACTCCACTCTCTCACATATTTGAATCTGCGTGGGTCCGGACTTGAAGAAGATTTACTACCTCATATTGAAGCGTTGCCCTTTCTACGTTCTCTTTGGCTTGATAATGCCTCTGTTAGGAAAGAGTTATGTTTCAACAGAGGCTTTGTGAAGCTTTGGTATTTGCGGTTTCGAAATCTAGCATTATTAAATAAGATAACTATAGAAAAAGGGGCGATGCCAAATCTCCAGTTCTTAGACATTTGTAGTTGCATGACGTTAGAAACATTGCCACAGGGTATTGAGCACCTTACTAAACTACAAGGATACAGATTTGATAATGTTTCAGACAAGTTTAGAGAGTCCGTTGAAGAAGGAGGTGTGGATCATGCAAAGATGCTACTTGTCGACGAGAGATGTAAGAAATATACGTAAGTATCTTTTATCCTTTCATTGACTTTCCTAAACTTAATGATTTGGAATATTTCCAAACTTAATGATTTGGATGTAAATCCATATAAATTGTTTGTTAATTAAAATATTGCTTTTGTCTTTTTATATATTTTGCAGAAACAAGTCCATACCGATTGAAGATTTTGCGTTCACGTGGTTGAAGGACTGAAGGTGGATCGGAAGCGTTCGAGACTTGGCCAATGACGTTGAAGACATCATTGATGAATTCATGTATCACATATACGTGCAGCATAAAGGCAGTCGATTTGCAAAGTGGCTTTGCAAAACCATTCACTTCCCCAAGAACCTTTGGTATAAGCGTCAAATAGCCAATAAGTTACAGAAAATCGCGATGGCAATCAGAGCTATTACATAGAGAAATAAGAGATATGGTGGTGATGCAGCTGTAGAAGGAAAAAGTACTTCTTCGGAGGATATTCGCAGATGGGTGCATAATCAAGTGGAGTCTTCTCTTTATCATAAGGAGGATGAACTCGTCGGGATTGAAGGTGATAAGAACTTGTTAATGGGATGGCTGACGAACGAAGAGCAACGCCAAACTGTTGTGTCTGTGGTCGGGATGGGAGGATCAGGGAAGACAACTCTAGTTGCAAGGACTTTCAAAGATGAAATTGTAAAGAGACATTTCGAATGCTATGCGTGGATTACTGTTTCCCAGTCTTATGTGATTGAAGACTTACTTAGAAGATTGATCAAAGAATTCCACAAAGCAGAAGGAAGAGGTCCTTGCAGACATGAATGCCATGAGTTATAACGAATTGCTGGAGATTTTGGTGAACTACTTGGAGACTAAAAGGTACCTAGTTGTATTGGATGATGTGTGGGATGTCCACCTTTGGGACAAAATAAGGTTTTCATTTCCAGATAAACAACTTGGAAGTTGAGTCATGCTTACAACTCGAAGAAAAGACATAGCATACTCTTCTTTTGGAGTTGAAAGCCATGTTCACAAGATTCAACAGCTGGAAAGGGGTGATGCGTGGGAGCTCTTCAGCATGAAAGCATTCTCAAGTTACCCTAACAAATCTTGTTCAACAGAAATTCTGTCATTAGCTCGGGAACTTGTGGGGAAGTGTGAAGGCCTACCTCTTGCGATCGTAGCCTTGAGTGGTCTTATGTCTTCTCAGAAGTCACTTACAGAGTGGAGCACAGTCTACAACGGCTTAAATTGGCATTTAACAAACAATCCTTTGCTAGAACCTATGAAGATGCGCATCTTGTTGTTTAGTTTTAATGATTTGTCATACCGATTGAAGCAATGCTTTCTATATTGTTCCCTTTTCCCTGAAGATCATGTGATCGTAAATAATAATCTCATCACATTGTGGATCACTGAAGAATTTGTTGAACATGTCAAAGTGCTCACGCCAGAAGAAGTTCAAATAGCTATCTTATGAAACTCATTTTTCGAGACATACTACAGCGAAGGTTTCGAGGACACCTCCCAGCATGTAAGATGCATGATCTTTTGCGGGAGATTGATCTGTCTATAGCAAAAGAAGAAAAGTTTTGCGCTGTACATGATGGGAGTGAAACAGTAGAAGAAACTGGGGCACTCTGTTTGTCAATTCAAACAACTAATGGAGAAATTGGAACATGAACAGGTATATCACGGCTTCGTTCGTTTCTCGTCTTTGCCACTGGCGTATCCTCATTCTCTTTCCCAAATAAATTACCTTTTGACCTTAAATTGTTGAAGGTTCTAGATTTGGTGGATGTCCCAATAGATAATCTGCCAGACAGAGTAACGTGCTTATTCAATTTAAAATATTTAAATTTGAAGGGAACTCTAATTAAGGAGCTTCCAGAATCCATTGGACAGCTCAACAACCTGCAGACCTTTAACATCACGGAGACAAAAATAGTGGCACTTCCAAGAGGGATTTCCAAGTTGCTAAAGTTATGCCATTTACCTGTGGGCAGGTTCATTTCCGGAAATTTAATTGGGGTAAGAATACCATCAAGTATTAGTAAGATGAAGAAATTGCAATTTTTGGGGCATATTGAATCAGAAGGAAACATTATTAGACTTATTGGAAGTATGACCCAGCTTACGGACCTTGGCATTGCAAATGTGAAAGAAAGAGACGAGGACCTATGTGCCTCAATTCAAGAGATGCAGGTCCTTTCCCTCTTGATTTTAAATGTAGTAGATGGAGAGGAATTTTTTCGAGTTGACGCATGGTCTTCACCGCCTCCCTACCCTAATAGACTTCACTTGATCGGCAAACTGGAAAAGGTACCACATTGGTTTTGTTCACTCCACTCTCACAATTATGACTCTGACTCAGTGTGGACTTGAAGAAGATTTACTACCTCATATTGAAGCATTGCCCTCTCTACGTTATCTTGGGCTTGATAATGCCTCTGTTAGGAAAGAGTTATGTTTCAACAGAGGCTTTGCGAAGCTTTGGTATTTGCAGTTACGGATTTCGTAATGTTTCAGAGTTGTTTATGGAGTCCATAAAAGAAGGAGGTGTGGATCAAGCAAGGATGCTACTCATCAACGAGAGATGTAAGAAATATACGTAAGTATCTTTTATCCTTTCATTGACTTTCCTAAATTTATTGGAATATTTCCAAACTTAATGATTTGAATGTAAAGCCATATAAATTGTTTGTTAATTACAATATCGCTTTTGTCTTTTTATATATTTTGCAGCATCAAGTCCTTAGCGATTGAAGATTTTACCCACGAGTACAGTTTAAGCTCTTTTTGAAAATCAAATAATACCCAAGTTGATGTTCATAAAATTGCATCTGTCGCTTCAGCAATGGGCATATGTATGTCGATGATTAGCTTTTAAGATTTGGATCATGGATTCTTTTATATTCTGCGTGTTTGTACTTTCTTCTATGTATCCTAGTTTTTGGAGATATTCGTATTGTCTCTAGTATCCCAAATTTGTATCAGTTCAACATTGGTGATCACATGCTAAGAAAATAGATTTGAAATGCCATACTATGGTATCAAGATCATGCAAAATGAAAACCGTATATTGTTCAAAAGTTTAAGACCAATGTGAACCATCCTTAAAATTATAGGCAACCTGAAAGGCTAGAAACCAAAACTTTTCAATATCAGAAAAATGAGATAAGTCATCCAAACATACGCTGAAAGTGATTTCATCACATGCAGCAAGTCTGTCACACGCTCACTGCTGTCATCTTCAGCAATTAAACCTTCACTTCCAGCCAAGTCAACTAGAGAAAGCTTGCTGTATGTGTTTTCTCCAGTGATCAAATTGTTATAATATATATGTATCGTGATGATCCTGACAATAGTGAAACAAGAATCTATTTTAGATAAATTAATACAGGACCAGTTGTAACACATAGACAAGCATACATAAAATAAAAAATGGATGACTGCAAATACTGAACTTCTTTTTCTAGTTTTCCAACTTAATGGTATAGTTATATTTCCTATCCACTATTCCCTTTCTTCAACTCTTTTCACTCCTAAAAACTGGAACATAATTCAAAAATAAAATAAATAAATATTTCACAGTTTAAGAATGGTCTTCTCATTCAGTGATCTGACGGGACTTTTTTTAAGAGAAAGGTCAAGCTTACCGTAGTGCTTTAAACTATATTACTAAAAGTACGACCTTACACTATAACAGCCATATAACGAGCCTACAAAATTTGGAACATACAAATGAGAAACGTTGAACTTTGATGGATCATTTCCTCGGCTCTGAAATGCATCTTTTAATACTTTAGAGAAGTCCAGTGGGTTATCAACTTTTTCCTGCACAAGTTCTACAAAGGACTCCGGTGATCCCATGCGAATCTTTGGTAGAGCATCTCCTGATTCTGGGAGTAAATCCCTTATCTACAAGAGCATGGAGGGGATCCGCATCAAACCATCATGAGGATTCCTTGCTCAAAAGCCATCAGACAAACATAAACCAGAAATCATGACAATTTACGATAAAAAAAAATAAGTACCTGTTCATTGTAGAGCTCAAAAACTGTAATGGAGAATTTAAATCTCGACGTAGAAGTTGAATCAGAGTTGGCCAAATCGAATAGTTCCTCGAAAGAACGAGCATATAAACC